ACCATTCTGCCAGTTTTGAAAGGCTAATACCCTCCTACTAATGTTTCAATTCCTTTTGCATTGTCCAGTGTGAACGAGGATTCCCCAGTCTTGGTTCCCTCCATAATTCTATGGACTGCACAACTGCAGCTAAAACTCCGCGAACTGATGTACCCAGGTTAGGAAATTATGCTATTCAGCAGGAGCAGACAACTTTTGGTGGAAGGGAGTGAAGAGTATTTTTCCTGTCTTCACATGTCCATTCATTAATTCTAAAACTTAAATGGATTAGATGGAAGCTACATGGAGCCATTATACTGACATGGCAATATAATCAATTATAGTATAAAGTTGTGAATTCCGTTTTCTATCTAGACTATTGAGTTCTTTGGAAAATACTTTACAGGTTCAATTATGTTCCTTTTTTTTCCAATTAAAATATACACGAGTAACTTAGACAACAGTACAATAATACACTACATTCTCTAATACTAGTACAGTAATAGAAAGTGTCAAGATTTTCTTTCTACAAGTAAATTTTGTTGGGTTAACTAAACAAAATCATGCCGCCTGGTTTTATGATAGGACATAAGGTCCTCAATGACACTAAGAGCTATGCAAGAGATATTTTAGATACTGGCAAAGTCTCCCAAGCAAGACAGATCTTAAGTGAGAAACACAAACCATCTCACTTACTCAATTGATGAAAATCAAAACCAAATTCTATACCAGCTTAGCCATAAATTTGGTCACGTTATGATATGATTGCTGAATATCAGGTGGCAGAACTCAGTTCCCCTTGCCTGACAACCAAGGCAAGGAACTGCAAAGTGACTAGAAATAAATTGCCAAAAATGAACAGTCTGACTTTAACATGGACTGATTTACCCATTGAGGTTCCAAGGGAGCTAAGAGATCTACCTGAGGTTCTGCTGCATGATCCTGCTGAGACCTTGGTTGCTGCCTGGAATAGGGAAGTGGCAGTGACCTCAGATAGGGTTGGGCCCATGTGACTTCTATTTGCCCAACACTCCCTGCAATATAGTTGAGGGAGCTGAAAAGGGTCAAAAGACTCTTCTACCCTCTGAGTGAGCACAACTTTTAGAATCATACAATCACATGGCTGGAAGGTATCTTGGCAATTTCTGGTCCAACACCCTGCCCATGGCAGGAGACCTTATATCAGTGATGGCAAACCTTTTAGAGACCGAGTGCCCAAATCGCAACCCAAAACCCACTTATTTATCGCAAAGTGCCAGGGCCGCATCAGCATTGTGGTGCCCTGGGGAGACAGCAGGGGGGCATGGCCCACTGGGTGGGCATGGCTGGATTGAGCGTGGCCACCTCAATGTTGCTCATGGGGGGATGCCTGTGGGGGCTGGGCAGGATTGTAGGAGATCCAGGGGATCTCTGGTGGGTGGGGCGGTGGGTAGGAGGCTTTTCCTGCAGGATGAGGCAGGGGGTAGGGCGGGGATGCCATTGCTGCAGGGCAAGGTGAGGCAGGGACGGCTGCTGCCTGACACCATTGGCCCCTGCACACAGAGGCCAGCGAGCGCATGGGGGCGTGCTCTACCACCTCTACTCGAGCTTCCTAGCCAGCCAGTTCGCCTCCTTTGTGCTGGGTGGGGTTGTTGCTCCAGGTGCCAGCGGCGGCCTAATGGACCTGCGTGAGATGCTGGCGGCAGCGGCCGTGCCCACAGAGAGGGCTCTGAGTGCCGCCTCTGGCATGCGTGCCATAGGTTCGCCATCACTGCTTTATATCATCCAGATAAATGGTTGTCCAATCTTTTCTTGAAAACCTCCAGAAATGCTGCACTCCCAACTCCAGGAGGCAATTGGGTAATTGTTCTCACTGTCAGGAAGTTTCTCATTAGTTCCAGATTGGATCTCTCTTTAACGAGCTTCAACCCATTGCTTCTTGTCCTTCGCTCAAGTGCTTTGGAGAATAAATTGATCCCCACCTTTCTGTGGCAGCCCCTCATGTACCTTTTTGTCTTTATGTTCCTTATTTTATATTTACAGTGAGGGGAAAAAGTATTTGATCCCCTGCTGGTTTTGTACATTTGCCTACCGATAAGGAAATGAACAGTCTATAATGTTAATGGTAGGTTTATTTTAACAGTGAGAGACAGAATAACAAAAACAAAAAAAAATCCAGAAAAACACATTTCAAAAAAGTTATAAATTGATATGCATTTTAATGAGTGAAATAAGTATTTGACCCATTCGCAAAACATGACTCAGTACTTGGTGGCAAAATCTTTGTTGGCATTCACAGATGTTTCTTGTAGTTGGCCACCAGGTTTGCACACATCTCAGGAGGGATTTTGTCCCCCTCCTCTTTACAGATCCTCTCCCAAGTCATTAAGGTTTCAAGGCTGACATTTGGCAGCTCGAACCTTCAGCTCCCTCCACAGATTTTCTATGGGATTAAGATCTAGAGACTGGCTAGGCCACTCCAGGACCTTAATGTGCATCTTCTTGAGCCACTCCTTTGTTGCCTTGGCTATGTGTTTTGGGTCATTGCCATGCTGGAATACCCATTCACAACCCATTTTCAATGCCCTGGCTGAGGGAAGGAGGTTCTCACCCAAGATTTGACGGTACATGGCCCCATCCATCGTCCCTTTGATGCGGTGAGGTTGTCCTGTCCCCTTAGCAGAAAAACAGCCCCAAAGCATGATGTTTCCACCTCCATGTTTGACGGTGGGGATGGTGTTCTTGGGGTCACAGGCAGCATTCCTCCTCCTAACACGGCGAGTTGAGTTGATGCCAAAGAGCTCGATTTTGGTCTCAATTGATCACAACACTTTCACTCAGTTCTCCTCTGAATCATTCAGATTCAGATGTTCATTGGCAAACTTCAGATGGGCCTGTACATGCATGTGCTTTCTTGAGCAGGGGGACTTTGTGGATACTGCAGGATTTCAGTCCTTCACGGAGTAGTGTGTAAGCAGTTGTTTTCTTGGTGACTATGGTCCTAGCTGCCTTGAGATCATTGACAAGATCCTCCTGTGTAGTTCTGGGCTGATTCCTCACCGTTCTCATGATCATTGAAACTCCACCAGGTGAGATCTCGCATGGAGCCCCAGACCAAGGGAGATTGATAGTTATTTTATGTTTCTTCCATTTGTGAATAATCACACCAACTTTTTTGAAATGTGTTTTTCTGGATTTTTTTGTTGTTATTCTGTCTCTCACTGTTAAAATAAACCTACCATTAAAATTATAGACTGATCATTTCTTTGTTGGTGGGCAAACATATAAAATCAGCAGGGGATCAAATACTTTCTTCCCTCACTGTTATGTTCTTATAGCTGTACAAATATTAATCATGCTTATTCAAATAGAACTAGAGGAGGAATTAGTCCATTTTTCAAATAACGTATGTTTCTTCTGTGGCAATTACTCTTCTTTCATTGCTAGTAGAAATCAAATTGGAAGGACTATAATGTGGTTGAAGCAAGCTATGGCTTTCATTTTGTTGCTTTGACTTTATATTAAATCTCAATGACCTTGCCCTTCACACATATCTGTCCGTGCCAAATTAGGATATATGCTGAAGCATTCAACTGGAAGAAGTACACAGTTTGGAAATCCAATAAGTTGCTAATGAAAATGCCATTTCCCAAATATTGAGTGGAAAAAAGAGCAAGCTTTGGTGGTTGTCAGTGTCCTCTTCATGCAGATGATAGCAGTGCTAAAAATAATATCAGGAAAGGGCAAGAATGATTTACCTCTGTTTGAAATCCATTTTACAGGTTTTCTGTTTAGATATCTGAACAAGCAAAACTATGCAGATTAGAGCTCTATTAAGAATGTTGCAGTTTGCTTCTGAGGATAAATAACACAAAATCCTACACATTTGTGTGCCTCTTTCTTAAAATATCCTAGTTCAGTCAGGGGTAGCCATTAATATCCCATTAATGTAGTAAGTCATGGTTCCGACAGATGAAACTCTTCAAGGAACTTCGAGGCATTGTTTACCTTAAAGCATCTTTATACGAGTAGCATAACTTGGCACATACATAGGCCAAGCCAAAATCTGAATTCCCCTCCCCTGAGCTCATAGTATCAAAGCACAATTCCCTCCTCTAATTAACAGTCAGAAATCACATTCTCCAATTAGTTTGAAATGCTGGCTTTCCCACCAGTTCTTCAACCCCCATTTCTTATCATCTCTTATTTCAAAAAACCTTCTCATTCTTATACAGTATTGATATGTCTAACTAAACTCCCATGCACATTCCTCCCCCCCCCCCCAGTATCATTTAATTCTAACTCTTAAGAGTAAAACATAAAGTAAAGGAAAATGGCTGCATCTCCATATGTTGTCAAAGCAGCGTTGACATAGTACATATTGGAAGTGGAATGTTTGCTTTTTTCCTATACTATCAGGAAAGAATAAGGAGTAAGGTGCAGACTATAAGGTGCATGTTCTCTGATCAGTATCTCCCTTCTGAATCGATTTCACCTATTTCATTAAAACTCTGTAGTTTTTCTGCATCATAAAAGGAATTGGTTTCTATCACTTTTCTGAAGATAAAAAGCAATTGCAATAATAATTGATTTTTTTAGGATTTATGTTTTGTTTTCACATAAAACCTTATTAAAGATATCATCTATAACCCAGTAATAGAGTGCTTATGGACTGGCACTCTAATCATGTTATTTATATAACATATTTTAAGTGTTTATTAATTATAAAAGACAGAGACACTAAATCGGGTAGGCAACCTCGGCTCTTTTATGACTCATGGACTTCAACTCCCAGAATTCCTGAGTCAGACTCAGGAATTCTGGGAGTTGAAGACCATGAATCATAAAAGAGCCGAGGTTGCCTACCCCTGCACTAGATGTAGCTGTTTGATATGTTGTTTTATTTTCTGTTCAGTTAATTACATTTATTTCTAATACTATGTCTCCAAAATCGAGATTTAAAATTGGAGTGCAGGTAGGGAATATTCATTGATGCAAAGAAATGTTATTTCTCTATTTTTTCAGATGAAGATGAAAAAGTAATGTCTAAGAAAGAAAAAATGAAGATGCGGAAGGAGAGATGGCTGCAAAGTTAGTATTTGTTTCATGATTTTCACAGATAGCTGGATTGCTAGGTACAGTATGCCAAACAAGAAAGTGCTCCTGGAAATATGAACAAGAATCTATCTGAACAGTTATTTTTGACAAAGGTCCATTATATATGATATGGGGTGGGATGTTATGTATAACTCCACTGGCTCAAATTATTTCAAAAATTATCTAATTTTTTTAAATACATAAAATTGTACTATGCTTAGATATGTGCATATTAAATACAAATGCTAAATATATAAATTGTCATGTAATGCCTTTTAATTACAGAAATATACCATACAGAAATAATTCCTGATTCTATAATTCTATAAATTATAATTCTATAATTTCTAGGATTTTTGTCCCAAATTTAAGATTTTCCCTAAAAATTACATAAGAAGTAATCATGATTGTTGAGAAGGTTAGGTTTCCGCCTGGGACAGGCAGATAAATCTACTAGGAATGTAGAATCCCAGGCCATTTTTGTGTTCTGTATTGTCTTTGATGGCTAAAATTCTCTGGGGCTATAGAGAAGCTGCAATGGTTTCTCATTGGAGGAGAAATATAGTAAATACATGGAGAAAACAGGAGGTGACATTGGTGCTCCCTCTGCCTGTTTGCAGGGAGCCTTCTCAATTTTAATTGATAAGAGCATGGTTTTGTTTGTGTTAAATACTCCTGTTCCCAGAAGCAAACATTTGAAGATAATGCTGACTTAATGTTTAATATTTTGGTCTAAGTCAGGGCTTTTCAACCGGTGGTACGCGTACCACTGGTGGTACGCGACCACCTGGCTGGTGGTACGCGGCGTCGCCTTCCTCCCCCCGCGTCGCCTTCCTCCCCCCTCCTCCGCTCCTTCCCAGCTCACTTGTTTGTGGAAAACATGCTGTTTGGCGGCAGCCTGCACAAATCCTACCGAACATGCCCTGCAGGGGGCACGCGAAGAGTGCAGGTGCAGAGCAAGGCCCCGCCCTCCCCAGGGACTCATTGTGCAGCAGCCGGATTGACTTCTTCTGGTGCACGCAGGTCAGCGGGATCTGTATTGCCCTTCCCCTCCCTCTTCTGACGCGCGCTAGGCAAAGCCAACAGAACGCGGGTGTGGAGGAAGAAATGCACCCGCCTGGCTCTCTCCCCCTCCCCACTGTTTCGCAGCATTTAACCCTTCTCCATTTCCACCACGGCCGGCCTGCCCGCCCGCCAAGTTGAAAAGCCCTGGCTTAAAGTCTGAAACAGCTGGGCTCTTGGCTGACTGATCGCCTTTCTCCCCCATCTTTTCTACAAACCGGGAATCATGGCTTAGTGGGGGCCTGAGCAGGTCTTGGGATGCCCGTGCACCCCTTGGATCAGACAAGCGAGAGGGGCTGATCTCTTCCTGCTAGGGAAAGCTGGAGAAGCTAGGAGAAAGTCAATTATTAGAGGGGGGGAAGTCACTTCTTCATGTAAGCCGGTTCTAATGTACGTGCCTGAAAACGGGAGGTGAACCGGCCACATTCCCGCCCTGCCTGTGCGCTCTCCTCTGCCTCTGCGCGCACAGGCAGGGCCGTGATGTGTTGCTGCCTGCCAAAACCAAGTTGGGGTCTGGGTGGCGTAGCACAGGACGAAGGAACGAGGAAGGAAGGGGCAATGGGAGCTGCAGCGCTGCAGCCTTCCAGTCCCGTGAGCGTCTTTCGGCTGTGCACCGGGCCTCACATTCATCAGCTGTTCGGCGGCCGAGAGACAGAGCCTTTCAGCTTCAGGCCGCTTCATCGGCCCTTGCCTCCCTGCCTCTGCCTCCCGCCCATCAGCTGTTCGGCGGCTAAGAGTAGGGGCCGCTCAGCTGTTGGTTGGGAGGCATCCACGCTGCCAGGTAGAACGGCGCTGGCTGCTGGTCTCCTTTGCCGCCCCGCATGTCGTCCTTGACCCCTCCCCCTGCCCGTTCATGTCGAGCCTGCGGGGGCTTGACAGGTAGAGAGGGAGGAAAGGAGGAAGGGAACAAAGGGGGAGGTGAAGGAAAGAAGGAAGGAAGGGAAATGGGAAAGAGGGAGGGAAGGAGGAAGGGACAAAGGGGGAGGTGAAGGAAAGAAGGAAGGAACGGAAATGGGAAAGAGGGAGGGAAGGAGGAAGGGACAGAGGGGGAGGTGAAGGAAAGAAGNGGAGGGAAGGAGGAAGGGACAAGGGGGGAGGTGAAGGAAAGAAGGAAGGAAGGGAAATGGGAAAGGGAGGGAAGGAGGAAGAGACAAAGGGGGAGGTGAAGGAAGGAAGGGACAATGGGAAAGAGGGAAGGCAGGCAGGCAGGCACCTGCCACAGTCGCATCCCCCTCCACCAGAGACCCACGGATTCCCCCCCACAGGCACCCTGCAACCTGAGTGATCAGCTGGCCATGCCCCCCCGCCATTGATCACATGACCCTGGGACACTGAACGTCATAAATATGAATCAGTTGCCAAGCATCCAAATGTAAATCACAAGACCCTGGGGATGCTGCAACAGTCATAAGTGTGAAAAATGGTCATAATTCGCTTGTAACTTCAAACAGTAACTAAGCGAATTGTTGTAAGTCAAGGACTACCTGTACTTTCTCATTTTTTTTCTTTTTTTGGGGGGGTTCAAGTTTTTGATACCTTGTTTGCGAGTGGTGGTACTCGGATATTGCCTTATCTGAAAAGTGGTACAATGGGTGAAAAGGTTGAAAAGCCCTGGTCTAAGTTGTATTGCTTAGTTAGGATTGTAATGTGCATTTGATTTTCAATCAGATCTAAGATCTCTTTGAATCCACATTGTCAGTTATTTCGTTTCCTCACCTTCACACACTGCACTTCATCATACATTTTAGATAGTTCCAGAAAAGAGAAAGGCAAGAGTAATGTCTTTGGCTACCATAAAGCAAATGGGGCAGAAGCAGAAAGGAAAGAAAATAACGAGCCACTCGTGACAAGAAATATGGCATTTCATGATTTAGAACAAAGGAAGTGGAGTGAACAAAGGAACATAGACATCTGAAGCCTCTTCATAAGTGGAATCCTGGAAGGCCAGTTAACAGCCGAAATGGTTTCCTGTGAGGACATTTTAATAACCAAAAATTGTTTCTCAGGATAGATAAAGTGTGTTTTTAAACCATGTACTGATTGCACTATATAGATTTTGCAAACAAATATCTCTCAGTGAGATGTTTCATACCAAGATAAAACCTCAGTTAACTCACTGAGGTTTCATTAAAGATAACAGTTATTTTAATGACCTCTGGACAATAAAATGAATAATGATAAAATGAATAATAGTACATATTATAGAACCAATTTCACTCTTCAATCTTAGAAGGTCATTAGCATCTCTATGATTTGAACTTATAAATACCTGATGTAATGAGAGAGAATGATTGGAAAAGAAAAATGAGACGTAATAACCGCTTAGCTGTTTTTAGAGGACAGAGATTTCCCTACAATTTGTTAGCTAGGGAGGAAATTAAAATAGAAAGTCTGAAAAAAAGTCTTATCTTGTACTCTATCTTGTACTGTCACTCTTATCTTGTACTGTCACAGGGTGGCTCTTTATTTTTATAGATAAAAGTGCAGTGGAAAGAAGAGAACCATTTTGGTGTAATAGTTAAGATAGCATCTATGAGACCATGAGTTCAACTCTCGCCTTAGGCACGAAGCCAGCTGGGTGACTTTGAGCCAATCACTTTCTCAGCCCTAAGAAGCTGCCAAAAATCTTGCCAGGAGAACTGCAGGGATTTGTCCAGGCACTTACCAGGGGTCAAGATTGAGTTCACAATGAATAAGAAAGAAGTATGTGAAAATAAAAATTTATTATTCCCTGCAGCTGAAATTAATTAGGAAATTGATGTAACGTTGCATATTTTTTTTACTTCAGCAATAATCAGTTACAATTGTATGCCTAGGAAACAGATGATTTACTTCCTTAAACATCAATGTAGTAAACTAATTATTAGGAGACTTAATTACTTGATTAGCAAATGTAATTCTGTAGCTATTAAAAGAATAATTTTTGCAGATATATTTTCATCTTTGGGTTGATTTGCCTTCTGCTTGATTTTTTGGGGGGGAGGGCGGGAAGACATTCTGTTTTTATCCTACTTTTCGACAACTGAAATAATGGAATAATAGCAGTTTTATATATTCCAGTCCAGCCATAAATAAATCATATTAAATTGAGAAAAAGGAAGAAACAGAATTCAAATTTTAACTACTAAAAATGTACCCCTGCATCTTAACTCCTAAAATGATTTCATTGGAAAAGAATTCAAAATTAGTTATGTGCAAGCTTTAAGTAAGTGACATTTTTGGAAAGCTTTGAAATAACACAGCTTCATAACTGCAGACCAAAAAAAGAAGTGTTGCAGAGCTGAAAATACTGACAACTAGCCGAGAGAGTGCTTCCAAGGAAAAGTGTATATACAATCCATATTTTTCATAAGCATCTGTAAAAAGTAACTATGACAGGTCAAATGTAGGTTATACATTGAGATGTCAAAACACCATAACTCAAGGATGAAGGAATTAAATGAACAGGAAAGTACAGTAATGTAACAGAATGCTTGTAGCTCAATAGTTCATACAGAAAAAGGGAATCCATGATAACATTGTGTAGATCTTCAGCTAAGAAAAAAGACAACCAGATTAAACTAATATTCCAGCTCAAGATATGTACTTTTTCTTCTTTTTTTGAACATTACAATAATAGGAGTTCTGACAATTATACCAGGTCTTTGAATAAATTGCAGTAAAATTGGCTGATTGTTTTAGTACTTTGAAGCTGTTGAGCTTGTACTGTTCAGGCTAAAAGTGCTGTCATTTCATTGTTGTAGCCCTGAATGAATAAATATTTCTTTTTTGCTCTTTTCTTCCATCTTTCATCCTTACTGAATTACCAGAAACCTTTAAAAGATCATTAGATCAAAACAAAGCTAAAAGGGTAGTAATATTTTTTTCCAATTGACAGAGAATTTACAATTTAAGTTGGAAAATAAATATCTTGACAGCATGACTAAATAAAC